AGTTTTTACGCTTTTTTTTTTTTTTTCTTTCCACCTATATATATATATTTTTTTTCTCTTTTTTTTTCACATTGAACAATATCCTCAGTCTCGACTGGTCTCAATGAGCAATACTTGAAGAGATCCCGCGATCTCGGGGGGAAAATAGTCCAAAGGAGTGTTTTACATCGTGTTGTATATATGTGCGGTGTGTATGCGTGTGTGAAAGAGAGACAGACAGACAGACAGACAGATAGATAGACAGACAGACAGATAGATAGAGAGAGAATTGTTTGTCGCGTTTTTTTTTTTTTCTGTACGTGTGATAGGTGACTACCGCCTCGATCGGATTAATTAACATCTAAATGTATAGTATCTCGTGATAACGCGATTCCTTTCTCTCTTCTTTTTTTTCTTTTTCTTTCTTTCTTTCTCGTAACGTCGGCGTACGAATGTCACTTTACTCTCTTTTTCTCGTCTTCTTCGTCCTCCCTCTTCTTCTTTTTTTTTTTTTTTTTTTTTTTTTTTGGTTCACAACTCGGGTCAACGTCAACAGTATAGCCTAACACCGACACTCGTGTTATTCAAAATCCCGTTCAGACTGAGGATCATTTTTTTTTTTTTTCTTTTTTCTTTTTCTCTCCATTTTTATACACAGGAATCACTTGCTCGCGTTCGACGATGTTTCCCCCCTCCCCCCTCCCTTTTTTCTTCTTCTCTTCCATTTCCTCTCTTCCCTTTCCTTTCTTCCCTCGCTTCCGTCGTCAATTATAAGTTACGTTATATTATTTATAAATTTATTCGCATGTAGTTCGTTAACAGGCCGTGGCTATACAGGGCCCACTACATTGATTTATCATCCTGTGGCACGCGGTCTTCCGAATATATATATATATGTTACAGAGGTGTGTGTGTGTGTGTGTGTGTTTGTGTGTGTCTGTGTCCGTGTGTACGTGTACATGTGTGTGTGTATAATTATAACATGCATACGGTCGCATAAGAGCTTGTGATCCTTACACCATTTTTTTTTTTTTTTTTCTTTTTTCGTTTCACATCCGTTTTCGCGTCTCTCTCGTTTTTATGCAATATGTATATTATATATATATATACCTTCGTCAATTTATATATAATATAATATCTCGTTCGACTAGTTCCTACCGTACCGAGCGTTGTTACTTCTTCGTTGCGCTTTCCATTTGGTCTTTTTTGAATGTGGTCGTCGATACTTCAGGCACGGATTATTGAAAAGTCTCCTCTCTGTCGAGAGATTGCACCCTTCTTTCTCTCCCTCCCTCTCACCTTCCTCTCTCCCAAGGTTTTTGACCCTTCGTCATTCTCCGCGCGTACCGATCCTCCTTTTTTTTTTTTTTTCTTTTTCTCTCCCACTCTTTCGCGCTCAGCTTTCCTCGAGAACAGAGAAGCTGCCTTCCTTCTCGCTCCCTTGCCTCGACGACGAAAACGTAAAACTTCGTCGCGAGGCGATTCATTTCCTCTCTCCCCCCCCCCCCCCCCCCCTCCCCTTGGTTCGAAACTAGCGCGGTGTGTATGTCCCGAACAGAGAACCAGACAGACTTTCGACGGCACGTTCGCTGGGATCTGTTGTAATTTTGTTCCTTTTCAATTACAACGACGATAACGCTTCAGACCTTGGACGATATTCAGAAAGGCGTGTGGTGGTTTTCGTCAGCCTCGGACAATCGTTCATAGTCTGGAGCGTTGCTTCGCTGTAAATGAAAAAAGAATGATACAAACGGTATCGACCCACGTCACCGCCACCCTCCACGTGTGTGTCGTTCTCCTCTCGTTCTCCGTTCTCCTCCGTTTTCCCCAGGTGACGCAGCGTGTGAGAGAGAACCGCGGAGAGAAGAAGAATCTCTCTCACTCTCTTTCTCTCTTTCTCTCTCTCTCGGTGTTTCTGTTTTAATTCTGGCTCTGCACAGCGTCGTCACCATGGAACAGATAGGTGGACCAGTATCCGAGATTGAAGAGCAAAAACATGAGAGGGAAAGCGATACGCGAGACGAAGTCGATCCCGGCGGTGCCTTTCGCTCGGCAGGTGAACCAACGTTTCGGTAGAAGGCCCCAGCAGCACCTCGGCTCGGCTGCGTGGGGTACGCCGCCGCGTGGTGGTACCGGAAGTCGTTGAAAACGGCTGCGTACGGTGGTGTCGTGCGGCGGGATCGCGCGGACAGTCGCCGCGGGCGGTGACGGCGTCGCTCTGCGAGACGTAGTGGGCGATGGGGAGGGTGTGGGTGTGGGTGTGGGTGTGGGCGAGGGCGAGGGCGATGGCGAGGACCTCGCGAGGCTTTTCAACGAGTGACGCGAGCTCCTCGTCGTGGGCGACGTGCAACGGCAGCCGGTGATGGTCGTCGTCCCTTCGATCACGTTGTGCAGCGACGAGAACGACGCTGACCTCGGTTGCTGCTGTTGATGCGGGTGTTGATGCAGGTGGTAACGTTGCGGATGGTGATGCTGTTTGTGCCTGTGGTGCGAGGGCAACGTTTGATGATGTTGGTGAAGCAACGACGACGGTGCCGGCGGCGGCGGGGGCGGCGGCTGCTGCTGCTGCTGTTGTAGCCGCTGCTGCAGCTGCAGGTGTTGTTGCGGCTGTTGTTGTTGCTGAATGTTACTGTGTTGGTGTTGATAATGTTGGTGGTGTTGATGCAGGTGACAATGGTGGGGTGGTTGCGGTGGCGGTGGTGGTTGCTGATGGTGTTGATGGTGGTGGCGAGGACGAGAACGATGATGAGGTTTGTTGCCGGTGGTGGCGGCGATGGTGGCGGTGGTGGTTGTTGAAGGGTTGGTGATGTGGGTATGATGGGAATGGCCGCGAGCCACGTTCCTTGATCCGAGCGCTTCCTCGTCGACGTTCACTCGTCCTGTTCTTCCTCCCGAAACAGGTACGTGGACCAGTACGCGAGATTGAAGAAAGCGAATACGATGGGGAAGAAGATCCGTGAGATGACGTCGATGCGCTTGGACCTCGTCGGGAACTTGGACAGCCACGACCTGCAGCAGTTTTTTTTTCGTGGTTGCATATGTAATTCGCAGTGCTGCATCCTATCCATCGACATGGTGTCCTCCGGTTGTCGGACCAGAGGTTTCTGAAAAAATTACCACCACGCCCGGGCATTAGTCGCGCGTCTCTTTTTCGTTTCGTTTCGTTTCGTTTCTTTTCTTTTCTTTTCTTTTCTAGTCTTGTCTTGTCTTGTCTTGTCGCGTCTTTGCTTTCTTTTCTCGCCTCGAAGCGAACCGTTCTTACGAAGGATATCGATTTTGCTTCTACACTGTGCACACGTATACTACATATTGCACATACGTGTATTTATATATATATATATATATATATATACACATATGTATGTATAGCATACGCGGTGAGACGAGTTACTAATCTCTGCAGGTTTTCTTACAGCGACTCGTCGAGTCAACGTATTTGCGTTCCGATAAAATGATAGCGTCAATGGATACTTTCTCCTTTTTGCGAGATTATGTTCCGAATTGCGACGAGTCGCTGTACTCGTGTGAGAATAGAGACAGGGCACGATATACAGGGTGTTTTGTAACTTGTGGGACCAACTTTGGGAGTTGATTGTACGCCGAAAAATAATGGAAAAGTGTCATATATATATATATGTCCTATCTGTCTTCATTTATGAGATATAATGAATTTTATAAACAGAACAAACTCTAGTAACCTAGTTTTACCAGGGATGGTATATTCAATTTTCATAATAATCATAACTGGAATGAACAAAACCCACACGTTGTTGTGCATTCAAGACGTCAACGCCAATTTAGTTTAAACGTATGGGCAAGAATAATTGATAAATTTTTAATTGGACCTTTTTCTCTCGATGGGAAACTAACAGGCACAAAGTACGTTGATTTTTTGATCACGCGTTTACACGAAATATCAGAGGAAGTTCCAGTCGATGTTAGACTTCGTACGCGGTTTATGCATGATGCAACTCCGCCGCATTTTAGCCGAGTAGCTAGGCAATTTTTAAATCAACACATTGCAAACAAATGGATTGGTCGTGGAGGTCCTGTCGCATGGCCTGCTCGTTCTCCGGATTTGAATCCATTAGATTTTCACTTGTGGGGACATTTAAAATCTATCGTGTACGCAACGTCGATTGAACATGCTGAAATACTACGAAATAGAATAGAGCAAGGCTTCCGACAAATTCCAGGAATGATAGAGAGAGTAACGAGATCGATGACAAGACGCGTGCAGGCTTGTCTTTGAATGCAAGGTGGTCGTTTCGAGCATCTTTTAATTAAAAGTAATTAAAACAGAAAATTCATTGTGTCTCATAAACGTAAAGACAGATAGCACATATATTTATATGACTTTTTTTCACTATTTTTTTTATTTTTAGTCAACACAAGTTACGAAACACTCTGTATATATATATAGATAATTATATCGAATGAAAGATCGCCAAACATCACTTCCCACTACAGTCAATCCGTATTTTTCTCTTTTATTACATATTTTTATATTACGGTTTCGAATGAAAGAAAGATCGCGCTCGATTGAACTTGGATTTCAATTTGAAATTAGTTCCTTTTTTAAAAAAGGAAAAAAAAAAATACAATAGGTGGGAAGAAACTTTTGGCCCACCCTGAGTAAAACGTTTTCGAAAATGGGACTGTCTGTTTCGAGGATCGTTTCGCTAACGGATAGCTAACACCGAAACACGGAAACGCTAATCGTGGTGTATAATTTTCTGGCTCTGGTGAATTTTCCTGTCTATCTCTCTGGATCTCGCGCATCCATGCTCGCGCGGTGGGACAATTCACGACGAAAAGAAGAAAAAGAAGAAGAAGAAGAAGAAAAAAAAAAAAGAAACATCACGAGGGAGAACGATTCTAGCATTTAAACGAGCAGAATGTGTTTCTCGTTTCGGACGATCCGAAAATTTTGTACAAACATAGCATGCAGCTTTTATGGTGTTCTGGTGGTGCCAAAGAAAATGCTGTCTACACACACATCCAGCTTTGATCAACGATAATTGAAAATGTGAAACTCGTCTGAAAAGTATTGGATAACTGTGTAACATACAAATATACAGGGTGTCCAAACAGGTTGGGACCAAGTTTAGACTACGTGTTACTTAGGTCAAATAGATGAAAAAAGTTCATATAAAACTTATGTCCGAGAATGCTTCATTGAAAAGAGCATTAGATATGAGCGTTCAAAGATTCATGGACAAAATTCGTCTTAAAACTCGTTGTACAGAATCGTGTACGTATTACAAAATAATCCTCGCGATATGTTCGACACGTTATCAAATGTAAAAGTGTACAGAGATAGATTTCCGCAACGAAAGGCAACGATTTCCATTACTGTAAATGAAGTGACATGTTAATAAAAATATCGTGTAACATGTGTTTCGAATTCGTCTCGATGTTCTCTACGATACGGTGGGAAAAAAATTATGTGTTCCCGTTTGTTTCATCCAAAGTGACTTTGATCTACCTATGAAAACGAACAGTTTTCGAAATTTTTTTTTATCGATACCTACTGTACACCTTGTAACGTTCAACTTTTGTTTTAAACTTTTTTTCGTCAAAAAAAAAGGCTGTAAGTAGGAGAAAAATCGCGTTACACCCTGTATATATATATGTATATATATATATTCTACTATCGATTCGAACGAACGTAATGTCGCGGAGCACGTTTACGTTTTTTCTTTTTTTTCACGATCTCTAGCTTTTCGCATTTTCTCACAGGTTATATGTAGAATAGACGAAACGGTTACTACGAGAAACGTAAGAGTCTCTTACTATCTATGGTGGCAGGCATATTTGTTATAAAAATATGTAATGTTCATTACCATTAAAACTAATCGATTATTTACCAAATAAGCTGAAAGACTCACATTACTGAATTGTAAAAAGAAAGAAAAAAAAGGGGGGGAGAGAGAGAGAGAGAGAAAAAAAAGAGTCAAGTTATGTAATAGTAAAGTAACTAGACTTTTAAGTTAAGAATTATTTACCTGTAGAGAATTTTGAAGTGGTCCATCATATCCGGTCTAGCAGTTTATAATAATAAAAATAAAATAATAGAATGAATGTACGTTATGGTGGTCTAGATTCAGAATTGTTTTTTTTTCTTTTCTTTTTTTTTTTTTTTTTTTTTCAACGTCATACATTTCAGGCAACTATATCGTTAAGAAGGAAAAGAAAAAAGAAAAAAAAAAAGAAAGAGAGAGAGAGAGAGAGAGAGAGAAAAGAATCTTACGATTAAATGCTCTATGCTTTGTGAAACATCTTGCGAGTAGCTAATAATAAAGTATATGTAGGTATGATCACTAAAGGAAAAAAAAAGAAAAAAAAAAAAGGAAAATGAACGAAAAGAAGCTTGTGAAACTGAAGAGAACATTCGTTCTTCTAAAAACGATTCTCTCGATGTCATCCTCGCGAGTCGTCGTGCATCGACGATCGAAATAATCGAAAAACGCAGCTTTTTATCACTGACCAAAGATGAATGTTGCCAGGAGATTTCTTTTTCTTTTTTCTTTTTTTTCTTTTATCGATTCTCGCTACGCTACAGAAAATCATAACTGTGGTTAGAGAGGTGGGTGACGAGGTGAGACAGGCGTAAAAAAAAAAAAAAAAAAGAAAAAGAAAAAAAAAGAAACAAATTGTAATCCGTAATAACGTAACACTACGAAAAGACGAAGTCAGAGAAATACATGTCTAATCGAAAAGTTTCTCTAAAAGAAAAGAAAAAAAAAAACTGACGAAGAAAGAAGAAAATGGCAACGACAACGACGCACACTGTAGGATTCAATCGGGATAAAAAAAAACATAATCGTCACGTATCACCGAGAAAAAAAAAAAAAAAAAAAAAAAAAAAAAGAAAAAGAAAAAATCGACAAGTGCAATCGACAATTAGACACAAAATTCTTCGAGGGGAGGGACAAAAAGGTGGATGCGATTCTTTTTATGTCCCGAAAGTGAAAGAGGAGGAGGATGGTAAAAAAGAAACAAATGTTGGCGTGAAAACAAGCGGTTTTAGACGTAACATCACAACACAGCTAGTGTCAATTGTCGTTGTGTACTGACCATAGCGAAATTCGACGAATTGTCTGGTTCGACTTGATCAGATGGTAAATCCATCGACGTGGATTGCTCGGTTTCAGACGGTGGATATTTCTTCTCTATGTTGTCGCTGTGCATGTCGCTACGCGACGCGTAATTCACTAGGGCGAACTCGAGGAGCGCGCCGAATACGAAAGTCAAGCAAACGCCTGTCCAAATATCGATAGCCTTTGTATAAGAGACTGGTGGCAGTGAGGCATTTATTCCTGACGTCTGCGTAGCCATCGTCAATAAGGTGGTCACACCTAGTTTCGGGAAATTCAATTTTCGTCATTAAAACTCGTTTAATTGCCATTTAATTTAATTGAATTTCATTGACATTCGATACGAGCAATGAAATTCGAGAAATTCAGTTGTCATTGAAACGATGTTAATTCAGTTCGTGGAAATTTCGAAAATCCCAGAAATTCAAGATATCCAATTGTCACTGAAACGTGACATTAATGTAATCAAGTTCAATTGAAACTGACATTAATTCAATTCAAGAAATTCAACAGATTTACCAAGTTCAATTGTCATTAAAATGATGTGAATTCAGTCCAAGAAATTCGAGGAATTTAATCGTCGTTTAAAGTGACATTAATTCAATTCAAGAAATTCAAGAAATTTGGTTGTCACTAAAATGACATTTGTATAATTCATTCAAGGAATTTAATAGTCATTAAAATGACATTAATTTGTAGTTCAAGAAATTAAAAAAATTTAATTATCATTGAAACGACATTAATTCAATTCAAGAAATTTATTTCTCATGAAATTGAAATGACATTAATTCAATTCAAGAAATTTGGTTGTCACTAAAATGACATTTGTATAATTCATTCAAGGAATTTAATAGTCATCAAAATGACATTAATTTGAAGTTCGAGAAATTAAAAAAATTTAATTGTCATTGAATCGGCATTAATTCAAGAAATTTATTTCTCATGAAATTGAAACGACATTAATTCAATTCAAGAAATTCAAAAAATTTGATTGTCACTAAAATGACATTTGTATAATTCATTCAAGGAATTCAATAGTCATCAAAATGACATTAATTTGTAGTTCAAGAAATTAAAAAAATTTAATTGTCATTGAAACGACATTAATTCAATTCAAGAAATTTAATTGTCATGAAATTGAAATGACATTAATATATATTTTATACGTTTAATATTGAACGATATTAATATATATTTTATGCGTTTATATATATATATATATATATTAATATATATTTTATATATAAATTTATATATTAATAATAATAGTAATTTATATATTAATTATGTATAAAATATATACATATTTTATTATATATATATATTGTACACAGTGGCGAGTTTTCCTGTAAGCAGGAAAATTTTTATCGATAAATTTTGAATTTTTATTTTCCTGTTTTCATGTTGAAAATTTAAAATATTGGAAATATTATATACAATTGCAGCCATAAGAAATATTTTATATATACGTGGTCGCATGTGTACAGTGGCAAGTTACAACTAGGTTACAATTTTTATCGACAAATTAAATTTTTATCTTCGTTTCCACGCAAGATTGAAAGAAACATTCAAAGAAGAAAATAAATAAATAAAAAAAAAAAAAAAAAGGAATATATATTCAAACATATTAGAATGCCTTTCAAACTTTCATATCGAACGAAATATCGTGCAAACGCTACTCTCGTTTGTTCGCCACATTCGTACAGAATATTTCAACTTGCCGAATGGTCACGTTTGTGCATGACCAAAGTCAATTCACGGCGAGAAAGAAACCGGATGATACAATCGGCTGTGTAAATGCACGCGGCATTCGAGGAAATTCGTGCCACCGTGGAGTACGCTTTGAGCTGAGCCGAAGTGGCGAATGCTCGACGGGTTAAAAGTTCGTGAATTCATAATACTACTCGAGAAGAACGAATTAGGATCGAGAAGATCGAAGAGCGTTCTTTCATTCCTTTTCTTTCTTCTCCCCGTTTTTACTCTCAGACCCGCGAAAGCCTCACAAACTTTTGATCCGTTGAGCGTTTCGAAACGAACGAGAGCGGAACGGAATTTCTCGACTTTAATTGAAAACGTTACCAAGTGAAACTCGAGCCGGCACGGCGCTTTGATCGAGCCAGAACGATACCCAGGACACAATGACAAGCATGCAGCAGGGAATGTAGATTTGAATAAGATAGTAACTGAATTCCCTCTTGAACAGCAAGTCAACTTTCAGGCAGCTGTACTCTCCTGCAAAAGTCGATCGAATCTCTCTGTTAGACCTCGTGCTTGATTTCTTAAAATCGTCGTCAACGATTCAACGATTCGAGGACGACGTTGAAGAGAGAAAGAAAGAGAGAGACAGAGAGAAAGAGAGAGAAAAAGAAAACAAATTCTCGGGATTCGTTCCATTTTATTACTCACCGGTGTTCGTCTTGCTGTTGCAATAGTCGGTATAAAATTTCTCCAACGTGAACCGTGGTAGGTGCAGGTTCTTAACAACTTGGACAGGGTCTCCCTCTTTCCACAGGAATACCAAGTCGTCGGTTGTCCAACCGTCTGTAACGAAACGAACAGTCAATTGATCTCTGTGTGTTATCCGTGACCTAAATCCTTTGCATCACTGTAGAAAAACGAGGAATTTCGAGATGTTAGTATACTCACAACTCGCCATACGCAATGAGCAAACTTGTCGATCCAAGGGGTACAGTTTCAAATTCATCGGGCATGACAACGTCAATGATATCCTGCAACGTGGGAATATTTTCGAAATTTTACGGTGTGAAAAATATATTTGGAAGATAAATATATATATTGTGACATAATTTATAATTATACAGAGTGTTTTCGTGAAAACCAGGCCATCTGAATATTATTGTAGTTCCTCTAATCGTTCCTTAACTTCTTGCGTTGGAATAACATGCCACGTACGTCGAGAATATTTTGTCCCAGATTGCAACATTTTCTCAGTTTCAAGTATATTTAAATGATAAGTTTGTTACTTCTCTAATTTTTATCCAGTAATACGAGTTCAAAAGAAAAAGAAAGCGAAAGTTGCTATTACAAATATGTCTGACACAGTCTGACCTTTATAATAAATTGTAAGAATTGTAAGACTAAATTTATAATAAATAATAATATAATTATAATTTATAATACATTTAATAATAATGTAACTATAATTTATAATAAATTTAATAATAATATAATTATAATTTATAATAGATTTAGTTCCAAGAGTCTCTAATAACCTATACGGTTCGGTCACTCGTTATGGTCCGCAATCAGTTGCCAGCGCAAGTAGTTAACCTCTTGCACTGGAATGACGTGCCACGCACGTCGAGAATATTTTCTCCCAAAATTGCAACATTTTCTCAGTTTCAAGTATATTTAAATGTGGCCCAGGCAAAACAGATGATAAGTTTGTTACTTTTCTAATAATTTTTATCCAGTGATATCATATCGACGAGTTCAAAAGAAAAAGAAAGCGACGAGTTGCCAGCGCAAGAGGCTAATGCAAATCTAACACAGTCTAACTTTTATAATAAATTATAAGAATTGCAAGACTAAATTTATAATAAATAATAATATTATTATTAAATTTAATAATAATATAATTATAATTTATAATAGATTTAATTCCAAGAGTCTTTAACAACCTACACGGTGTCGGTCACTCGTTATGGTCCGCAATCAGTCCGCCAGCGCAAAGGGGTAACTTAAACGCGTTAATTTAAAAATTTTTTAAGTCCTTGTCATAAACATGTCTGAATACATCTCTTCACGAGCTACCCGACGGAATGGAGAACAGTACAGAAAGTTTCAAGAAACATTAAAAAAAAAAAAAGATATTTAAAAAAAAAAATAGTCCGATTTGTCTGTTTATTTAGTTCAAGTTGGGAACGATTTTCCTAGTAGAACCACTCGCTAAAAGAGAAGATATATTCAGGTGGCCTGGTTTCACGTCAAACACCCAGTATAATTATAATAATTACAAATTGCACGGTTGTAAATTACACTGAATTCAATTAAATTTAATGAAATCGAGTCGCGGATAGTGCATGTAGTTACAAATCATATTAAATTCAATTAAATTTAATTGAATCGAGCCACATATATATATATATAGCTATAAATCACATTGAATTTCAAATTAATGAAACATAATGTAGATTATATGTACCGTATGCTGTACAGAACGGAACCATTGGGAAAAATACGAATGTATACGTTCGGCATGATAATGTTGTGAAAGTGTCCCTCCTTCTCGTTCGAAAAGAACAGATCCGGCATCCAAACGCGACTCGCATCCGTCAACGTTAAATACTTTAGACGACCTGCAATTTTAACGACGAAACACATACACACGCGTGACGTATGAGGACATATATATCCTCGATATAAATTTTATAATATATATATATAATTTTATAGCAAATTTTAATAACGTATTTAATAATTTTATAATATATAGCGAATTTTATAGCGAATTTATATATATATAAATTTTATAATATATATATAAATTTTATAGCGACGATATAAATTTTATAATATATGAATGTTGGAGCGTGTGTTTCGCTTTTTTACCTCCGTAGTCGCTGAACCGCAGTCGTTCGTCCAGCCATTGTTCCCGGAATGTTAACTGTACAGAGTACTCCTGCGGGGAGAAAAAAAAACGGGCGTGATTTAATCGAGCGAAGCGGCGCTCGTCCCGCGAGAGAGTGAGAGTAGCAGAAATTAAAATTCGTATCCTCTAGGAATGATCGGAAACGATACGTTTCGGTCCTCTATGATGACGATGGCGAAACGGAAGGGCAGGTTGTAAAAAAGGGTTTTCGCGTTTGGTGAATCGAGGTGAGGAGAGAGCGACCTCAGAGATTTCAAGATGGACGTTCACTCTCGAAAGCAGACAGCCCAGTTAAGAGTTAATTTCATTTCGTCGGAGTTAGAGATCGACCTGTAACCTCTTGCGCTGGAATGACGCACGTTGAGAATTTTCTTTTTTTTTTTTTTTTCAAAATTGCAATATTTTCTGAGTTTTATTTCTGAGGTATATTTAAGTATGACTCAGGCGAAACAAATAACAAATTCATTGCTTCTCTGTAATTTCTATCCAGTGAATATCACATTGACGAAATCAAAAGCAAAGGAAAGCGACGAATTGTGTTGCGTACGGGTTTGGTCACTCGTTATGGTCCGCAATCAGTCCGCCAGCGCAAGAGGCTAATGCAAATCTAAGACAGTCTAACCTTTATAATAAATTGTAAGAATTGTAAAACTTACGATGAATTTGATAATAATAAATAATATATAATAAATAATATATAATTATAATTTATAATAAATTTATAATAAATACTATATAATTATAATAAATAAATAATTATATAATTATAATTTATAATAAATTTAATAACAATATAATTATAATTTATAATAAATTTAGTTCCAAGAGTCTCTAATAACCCGTGCAAGTGCTTGATGCGGAACTTTAAATAATGAAAAAATCAATAAATGAAGAAAAAAGAACAGACATGTTTGCAAAGAAAAAAGAAATTTTTATTTTGTCAATGTCTTTTGAATGTCAGCTCTGAAATTTCTGTGACGCTCTCTCTCTGTCTCTCTCTCTCTCTCTCTCTCTCTCTCTCTCTCTCTGTTTCTAATTGTGAACTTAATCTAGAGAAATCAACGGGAGATGGTAGAAAAGAATCGATCGCGATGAGAAACAAACTCGGACGAACCAATCGGGACGAAAGAAAACGCAGAACTATTTCTAAATTTGAAAAAAAAAAATGAAGGAAGAGGGTTTATATTTTGAGCGCCGAATTTATGATTGCAATTGTTCCCAAATGCTTTTACTGACCTGGTTGACGTTGTGAAACGAAAGGAGGAATCGACGAAGAAATCGTCGAGTTACTGCAAAGTGAAACTGAAACTCTAGTTTTCGTTTGAAACCTTCTGGTTTACAAGCGTGTAGAGTCTTCGTTGAATTTTGAAAAGAAAAGGAGAAACTTTTATATTTTGTTGTCGAATTTATGAACAATTGTTTCCAAATTGTTGATTTCCTCTAATTCCCCGCAGAAGAGAGATTTCCCAAATTGTTTGAAAAACAATGTTTCATTGACCTGCGTTGACATTTTGAAAAAAGAAAATTGTCGAATCGCTGTAAAATGAAATTGAAACAGCCGTTTCCACTCGAATTTTGGAATGCAAAGCGTAGACGCTTTTCTCCGTCGAGTTTGGTGTTTCGCGCCGCAGCGTAGAACGTCCGACTACGAGCGTTGTGATTTCAAAAGAAGAACGAGGGAGGAGGCGTCGAGCTGCATCAATAAACGTGAACGAGGTCAGTAATTGCGTAACATCAGCGTCTTAAAGTCACCGACTGGCTCGTACACAGTTTTTCGACGTAGCAGCGATCGAGAAACAAAAAAAGCAAACGAATAATCGATCTGTCGGAGCCTGGTGAAAAATCACCGAGACTCGGGGAAACGAAGGGAGTGTCAAAGTATGAAAAAGAAGAAGAAGAAGAAGAAGAAGAAGAAGAAGAAGAAGAAGAAGAAGAAGAAGAAGAAAAAAGAATCACTAGGAGGAAAGGTGTGTCGCGCTATGTATCGAACGAAGGAGGTGCTCTTGCACCCTCGAACGATTTCGAACGTCCTACCTACTCTTACTTTCCGGTGTCAGCCGTTTTCGAACGAAAGTGTTCCGTTTCAAAGAAACACCTTCGTGTTCGATTCTTTCAACGCTCCGCGCGTTTCCGCGAAACTCGAAATTCGCTCCTCTTTCTCACCAGTTTCTTCTCCAATAACCGGCGATAAACGAGCCGGCGAGATTGAAAACAAAATTGAAAATGTCTCTTTCCCCCGAAAACTGCAACTACTCTTCTTTCGGCTGAAAGAAGAAGAAGAAGAAGAAGAAGGGAAGAAAAAAAGATCAACCCTCCAACGCGGTTTTAGAGGTCGTTCCGACAGCAAAGTGCACTTCTGCCCCCGGACAACGAAAGGTCGTGGTAAATTTTTTTCTTTTCTTCCTCCCTCTCTCTCTCTCTTTCTTTCTCTTTCTTTCTGTACCAGCCTTCTTCTTCTTCTTCTTCTTCTTCTTCTTCTTCTTCTTCTTCTTTCTTGATCACGGAGCGTTAAAGAATCGAGGCTGCGTGGTGGTTATATCTTGCTGGAATGAAAAGTCTCTCGGTTGCTGAGAGGAAACTGGAGTAAAAGGTGGGGGGGGGGGGGGGGGGGAAAAAGAGGGTTGGGCGAACGTTTGGGGGGGGAGTGGAAGAAGATGGTTGGGCGAACGTTTAGGGGGGGTTGGTGAACGAACAAACAGTGATATTGTTCGAGTATATATAGTTGTATACACCGCGTCGAAGCATATGTAAGTGTCATGCAACGAAGCAACATCGAAGCCAGCTACGTAATGTAAACTACCAGTGGTTCCAACTATGTATGTAGAAATAGAGTAACTACGCTGCGTACATAACATACATATAATATATATATATATATAAATTTATTTGTCTCGAAATTATTGATAAAATAAAAAGATATACGTATTATATATATTATATATATATATATATGTGTATGTATGTATGTATATATACGTGTATGTATTATATGTACATTGCAAGTGGACAACGCATGCATCTTGGCTCACAGTTTCACTTTTTTATCCCCTGGCTGGACTTGTCCTCGTCGACGGCGTCCTGTCTTTTTCTTTTTTTTTTTTTTTTTTTTTTTTTTTTTTTAATATTTTTGCATACATCTCTTTTTTTCTGTTTCTCTCCCTCCTTTTTTTTTTTTATTTTTTTATTTTATTTGAAAGGGGGGTTGGAAGACCTCCAAAGCGTTCTTTCTCTTTCTCTGGCACTTTGTCACTCTGCGGCGTTTTTTTTTTTTTTTGTTTTTTGTTTTTTTGTTTCTTTCCTTTGGCTCTTAGCTCTCGTTCCCCTTGATTTCTCGTTCATCGGACTGACCGAGGTGTGAAATTAAAACCTACGCTCACTGATCCTCTTATTCGTTTCTTTCATTTTCTGTTCGACTTTTTTTTCTCTCTTTTTCTTTTTTTTTTTTGGATTCTCTCGTTTCATTTTTCTTTTCGGTTTCCTGCTCGTTCGTTCAATCGTGGTGTTCCGGCGATCGGAAAAAGATGCTGTTCGCTTCCTGGCTTTGCCAACACTTACCATTGTCCGCGAGTTGTTTCGGAAATGTCGAGCGGCGCGTCGCAAAGGAGGATCTACAAAGGCCCCCCTCCCCCTCCCCCCTCCCCCCGAAGACGTTCGTACTTCGTTAGTTTCTCGTTTTCGTATTTTGTTTCTTTTCGGCGTGATTACTTGGGTCGGGTCGCTCGAGTCACGTTTTGCACATTTGCGAGTCGCGTGGTTTTCTTTCCTTCTCTTTGGCGCGAGGAAATTCCGCGGCGAAAAAAAAAAAAAAAAAAAAAGAAAGGAAGAAAGGGAGAAAGAAAGGCAGAAAAACACCGCGTTTCGAGTTCGTTTGAAAAGGGAAAATAATCGTCCTCTGCGGACGAATGTGCGTCGAAATACTTTTTTCAGAGGTGGTTCAGAGACCGATTTCGTTTCGAATGGGGGGCGTTTCTGTTTTCTTTGGGAAAATTTCTTGGAAAATCTGCGTGAAAAGAAATCTCTCGCTCGGGCAGAGTCCTCTGTACGGACGTTCGTTACTCGCTATCGAAAATAACCCACCTGAACCTCAACTTCCAACGGTTTTTAGTTTTTCAGTTTTTCGACGTGAACGACGAATAAAAAGAAAAAAATATTGATAACCAACAGTCAAGCGACGTGTTATTTTTTTTATAGTGTCCAAATTATCTGTGTCGTCTCATCGGGTGTTATATTTTATATATCAGCCTGGCCAAAAAGGTATCTGCGGTTTTTTCGCGTGCAAAATGAAAGGCTACGTATAATATGTTAGAGGATATATATATATATATATATTATTTATTAGAAAATTATTATTTATCTATTATATTATATTATATAGATTATATTAGAAAGTTATTATTTATCTATTATATATTATATTATATTATATAGATTATATTAGAAAATTATTATTTATCTATTATATATTATAATATATTATATTATATAGATTATATTAGAAAATTATTATTTATCTATTATATATTATAATATATTATATTATATAGATTATATTAGAAAATTATTATTTATCTATTATATATTATAATATATTATATTATATAGATTATANTGTGTATATATATATATATATATATATATATATATATATATAGACATCCATTAGAAAATGTATATATAATATTTATACTGGAAGACATATGTATATTATCTATTACAAGACTATTATATATCTATTATATATACATATTTACCTCTATTAGAAAATGTTTATATATATAATATATTAGAAGATATATATATTATCTATTAGAAGATTTTTATCGTCCATCAGACTATACATACGTACATCATGAAGATGAACGTATATTAAAAAATATGTACAAGATGTACAATTAATAGAAAAGAAATACAATGTATTAGAAAATATTACACATTATCTATTAGAATATATATATATATATATATATATATATATCATGAAGAGGTACAAGTATATTTTAGAAGTACATACATTCATGTAGAAGAAAACGCAAACCACTTTTTGGCCAGCCCGAATATTTGTCCTCGCGATTTGAAAAAAAAAAAAAAATAGAAAAATAGTCGATTTCCCTTTCTTCGCGACGACCATCTCTGCGAAATGTGCATACATACGATACGATACGATACGTATGCATGCACGTGCGCGAAATGTAAACGATAATCGCCGTTCACAGGCGATATTTAATTATTCAATCGTCTTTTCATCGATCCGACGTTGGGAAAGTGACATATATCTTGCAAGTTCATTCAGTCCGTTCGCAGTCACTTTCACTCTTCGCCTGAATACATTACACGGGAATAGTAACGAGTCAGCTAATAATCCGGAACTCGGTGTCGTGCCCAGGCCTGCCGGAAAGAGCATTCTCGTCGAATCTTTCATTAGAATCTCGCGCCACCTTCGTACATTTCACACCTTGTCGACGTCGCGCGAAAACGATCTATCGGGAAACGATCCAATTGGATTGGATCTAGCGTTACGCGACTTGACACGTTGAAAGTAATTGCTGCTCCCTCTCAATCATCCCACCTTCGATGATAATTAATCCAATTCTCTGCTGCATTATCGTCGGATCTGTAGACGATAGAAATTCCTTAACGCTGCAGCTAACCAAAGTGGTGGAGATTTATAATTTTTTCTCACACACAGTGAATGCCAACGTCGCGCATTTCAGTGATTTGGATGACTTTTTAATAAGGGATAATTGTGTTCTTGTGCTTTAGTTCTAGTGTCAAGGGGGTCAGGACAGTTTGACAATTTTCGAGAAAGTTGATTTTCTTTTGTTCTTTGTTTTTAAATGGTCGTTTGAAGTCTTGGAAATTAGATACAAAAGGTCGTCCTAGCCTTTAAAACGACGTGTTTCGGGCGGATACAGAATCATTGAATTTGTATCACATTTGTTTACAACCTCAAGCGGTATTACAAAGTGTAGATCGTGCGATTCAAGTATTACTTTTGGTGAATCGAATATCAGAAGGCTCTGGATTCAATTTTTAGTTGTGAATTGTAAGAACCGTGAGCCGCGATATATGAGTAAAAGAAGTGAGTAAAGGATACGTATGAAAAGCGTACGTTCTGAAGCTTTTTAAACGCGTTTCTCTCGGAACTAGGTTTTTCGAAACGAATGCGCAAGATATCTCGGAATCTAACCAGCCGATCACCGTGAAACTTGGCACGTATCTTTGGCGTAACATTTACTAGGGATTGACGATCGAACATTTCTTAATTTTTTAACAATTTCGAGAAATGTAAACANAATCTTTTTGGCACAAATTCGACACGTCGGAAACAAGTAGCCGCCATTTTTCGTAAATATTCACAGAAATGAAAATGTTGGTGCGTCAGTCCCTAGAGAGTATCGTTTACTTTTGAACTTTCTCTGCCTCTTTGTTGCGGCTAATCCTGTTTGGCCGGAATCATGCACACCGATTGTCAAACGTAAAAAGAATGTTATGGTAAAAGTATGCCGTTGAAAGGTTAAATAAAGAGCCCACTCTTCTTCTCTTTTAACGTCGCTTTTTACAGTTGATAACGCGTTAATAAAATAAACCGCAGAAGCTCGTGTCAATCAAACGTATTTTGCCAGCCCTCCAAAGTATATTAAGTAAATTTTAAGCCCCCCGTCGAACTGTCCTGCCACCTTGACTCTGCGTCAACTCTGCCAGTTTGTTAATTACCGCCACCGTGAGATCGGTGGCTGAAGCCTCGAGAACGAAACCGGTGAAATGGGAGAAGGAAGAAGAAGGTCGTTCTCCTCTTTCCGCGTTTCACGACTTTCCAAGGCAGATGGGGAGGTTAAAAGGAACAACGAGCACAGCCTGACCTATGTAAAGCGCGCCATCTTGGAAACGAGGTTCCCTCGCTATCGTAGATTGGAAGATGTTTTTTTCTCTCCGCAGCCGCTCGAGTTTCGAATGATCATCGTGACGGAGGAAATATCAGGAAGCGTGGAGGTGAATTGAAAGGAGGAGGGGTGAATTGAAATGGACGAAGAGAGAACAAAGAAGAAGAAGAAGAAGAAGAAGATTGATCCGTAATACGTTTCTGTGCGTGTACGAAGAAAGTGATGTTTCTTTCTTTCTCCTTTGCTGTACGTGATCACCTAGTCGACGAATTAGAGTATCTTCTTCCGTTCTTTCTCTTTTTGACGAGGAAGATCCTTTAACGAAGTCGTTTGAGAAGGGAAACAAACACGTTTCTCTGTTTTTCGTATTTGAAGCTTGTGGGGGAAGGGTGGGGACAGAAAAAAGGGAATTGGACAATTTGAGTCAACAAATCGTTCTGAGTTATATCCACATCGATCGGTCGTTTATTTTTCTTCGTATTTTCGAAGAGAAGCGGTAGCTGTGTAGTCGGTTTTTTTCACACCATTAATCACGAGAACGTGGTCCTCGAGATTACTCTGTCGGAGGATAACAACATAGTTGCTAGTCGGAGATGAGAAATCTCCACGGAACGAATATAACGGATCTGTAAGGATCGATCTCTGTTGAAACAAACAACGAGTATTCTCAACAAATCTCTGAAAATTCAACCTCGACCATCGAGCTGAAGTTCCCTGCATTTTCCTTCGCGATGAAAATCGCGACACTCAACGAACTATCGTGTCGATTAACGAGCAATCAAGAGAGAATCTGTCTTTCCTTTTCCCCATCCCCGTAACAGCGTCCCATTTCGCAGCGATTATACAGGGCGTCCGTAAAGTCTCTTTACAATTTCAAAAATTTATTACGAAGCCGAATGAAAAGACAGACTAGTGGAAATTATTACAAAATGAGACGTGTATATTTAAGTTTTCTTTTTGATACACCTTATTTGATACACCTCTATATGGGCACCATTAGTTGCACGAAGCACATGAAGACGGTACATTTCTCACACGATCGATGTATGTTCTCCTAGTTCACAAGCAGCACCTAATAGTGCCCATATAAATGAAAGGTGTATTAAATGAAAGAAAAAAAGAAACTTAAATATATACG